ATAAAACTGTTCAAATTTTATTTTCAAAAAATTTCCAAAGAATTTTAGATCTTATTCCACGAAATCAATCAAACAGTCACCTTATAGTCAAATGTCTTCAAAGGAAATTCAAAATTTCACTTCAAAGTGAAAGACTCGGTCATCACCTCCTCATCAACACTTTTCCATAAAATCAAATTCCCTCTAAAGTCAAAAACCTAAGGATTTCTGTCTGATAAAAAACTCTCCATAATTTCTAAAATTCTACACGGGTTTTCGTTCACAATTCTTTCCACCCAAGGAGCTCTCGATCTTATTCCAAGTATCTAATGAAACAATTGTCTCCTTAGTCAAATGTCTTTCTAGGGGATTTCGAATTTTATTCAAAACTGAAGATTTGGTCACCAGTTCCTTATCTACCATTTTTCGTGAAACACGAAATTCCCCCCTAAAGCCGATGACTTAAAGACTCTTATTCGATCAAACACCTTCCATAATCTCCGAGGCTCTACTTAAGTTGGAAACTTCCTTTTTTTTTTAGAAGTTATTCATTAACATGTTTTCTCGGGGATTTAAATTTTAAAAAGGCAAACATTCTTTTCTTTTTCCTCTTCTTCTTTGATCACTAAAGTAAGAACCCAAATTCAAACTAAAATTCTAAAAAATTGCGAAACCACCCCCCCAAATACTACCGATCACTCAAATCATGATCAAAATACGAATCACTGCCAAAATTGAACCCCCACATCCTTGTAACTGCATCATTGCCCCCAAATAACTCGGATTGCCACAGAATCACATCACTGCCACGTCAAACTCCCCAGACTTTGGGAATGAAATCACAGTTTTTCTCGTTGTTAGAGAGGTGGAATCAAATCAAATCTAATCGTTTCGAAAATATCACATAAGCACATAATTTGCATTCATGCCTATTTGGGGGGTAGGGTTGCCCTGTCCTAATTTCGAACTCAGACCTAGGATTCACTAAATCATTCAAAGAGGCAATAATACAATCCTGGAAAGGAGGGTATCCTGCCCTAGTTTGGAAGCTGCTAATGCTCTCTCCATGCAGAAGGAGAAGTAAGTTTGGTCAAGAAAGGGCACAACAGTCGTCACAATCAATATACCACTCCTTCCACAAGGGAATGATCAAACAGTACAAGTAGCATAACCTCCTGCTTGCCTTATTGACATAACATAACCAACGGATAGTGTCCGGGATACTATTCAACAAACCCGACGACAGGTGAATGCAACCAGCCAATTTCGTTTAACAATTACCATTGGATCCCGAAGTCATCGTAATCACCCAGTGGGTGATACTTGCCCGACCAACGGAATTCTGACGAATTTAAAAGATTCCTACCAGAGTGATCAATCTAAACACTTGTCTTTCCATTACATATTGTTTCCCGAAATGTGCCCCAATTTATTTTCAAAAGTGCGTCATCAAATTTCAACTTCTATTTTTTTAAACATATTTTTTCAAAATAAAGTGCCGTTTTTATTTTTTCTTTAAAATTTCAATGTTCTCCTTTCCAATTTTTTTTTCGAAAGTTTAAAAGACTTCAGATTTTATTCCAAGGAATCAACCAAACGATCGTCCTTTAGCCAAATATCTTGTACAGGAACCAAAATTTTATTCGAAATGAGAGACTCGGTCATTACTTCCTTGTCTAACATTTCTCCACAAAATTTAGTTTCCCTCAAAGTCAGCGGCCCAAAGGTTTTTACCGGTTGAAAAGAACTTTCCATAATTTCATAACTCTATTCAAATTTTACTTTCAAAAAATTTCCAAAGAATTTTAGATCTTATTCCAAGAAATCAATCAAACAGTCACCTTATAGTCAAATCTCTTCTAAGGATATTCAAAATTTCACTTCAAAGTGAAAGCCTCGGTCATCACCACCTCATCAACACTTTTCCATAAAATCAAATTCCCTCTAAAATCAAAAACCTAAGGATTTCTGTCTGATCAAAAACTCTCCATAATTTCTAAAATTCTACACGGGTTTTCGTTCACAATTCTTTCCTCCCAAGGAGCTCTCGATCTTATTCCAAGTATATAATCAAACAATTGTCTCCACAGTCAAACGTCTTTCTGGGGGATTCCGAATTTTATTCAAAATTGAAGATTTGCCCACCACTTCCTTATCTACCATATTTCGTAAAACTCGAAATTCCACCTAAAGCCCATAACTTAAAGATTCTTATTCGATCAAACACCTTCCGCAATCTCCGAGGCTCTACTTAAGTTGGAAACTTCCTTTTTTTTTAGAAGTTATTCATTAACATGTTTTCTCGGGGATTTAAATTTTAAAAAGGCAATCATTCTGTTCTTTTTCCTCTTCCTCTTTGATCACTAATGTAAGAACCCAAATTCAAACTAAAATTCTTAAAAATTGGGAAACCACCCCCCTAATTACTACCGATTACTCAAATCATGATCAAAATATGAATCACTGCCTAAATTGAACCCCCACATCCTTGTAACTACATCATTGCACCCAAATAAGTCGGATTGCCACAGAATCAAATCACTGCCACGTCAGACTCCTCAGACTTTGGGAATGAAATCACTGTCTTTCTCGTTGTTAGATTGCCGGAATCAAATCAAATATAAAATCGTTTCCAAAATATCACATAAGTACATAATTTGCATTCATGCCTATTGGGGGTAGGGTTGCCCTGTCCTAATTTAGAACTCAGAGCTAGGATTCACTAAATCATTCAAAGAGGCCATAAAACAATCCTGGAAAGGAGGGTATCCTGCCCTAGTTTGGAAGCTGCTAATGCTCTCTCCATGCAAAAGGAGAGGTAAGTTTGGTCAAGAAAGGGCACAACAGTCGTTACAATCAATATACCACTCCTTCCACAAGGGAATGATCAAAAAGTACTAGTAGCATAGCCTCCTGCTTGCCTTATTGACATAACATAACCAACGGATAGTGTCCGGGATACTATGCAACAAACCCGACGATAGGTGAATGCAACCAGTCAATTTCGTTTAACAATTACCATTGGATCCCGAAGTCGTCGTAATCACCCAGTGGGTCATACTTGCCCGACCAACGGAATTCTGACGAATTTAAAAGATTCCTACCAGAGTGATCAATCTAAACACTTGTCTTTCCATTACATATTGTTTCCCGAAATGTGCCCCAATTTATTTTCAAAAGTGCGTCATCAAATTTCAATTTCTATTTTTTTAAACATATTTTTTCAAAATAAAGTGCCGTTTTTATTTTTTCTTTAAAATTTTAATGTTTTCCTTTCCTCTTTTTTTTTCGAAAGTTTTAAAGAGTTCAGATTTTACTCCATGGAATCAACCAAACGATAATCCTTTAGTCAATTATCTTGTACAGGAACCAAAATTTTATTCGAAATGAGAGACTCGGTCATTTCTTCCTTATCTAACATTTCTCCACAAAATTAAGTTTCCCTCAAAGTCAGCGGCCCAAAGGTTTTTACCAGATGAAAAGAACTTTCCTTAATTTGATAACTCTATTCAAATTTTATTTTCAAAAAATTTCCAAAGAATTTTAGATCTTATTCTAAGAAATCAATCAAACAGTCACCTTATAGTCAAATGTCTTCTAAGGAAATTCAAAATTTCACTTCAAAGTGAAAGACTCGGTCATCACCTCCTCATCAACATTTTTCCATAAAATCAAATTCCCTCTAAAGTCAAAAACCTAAGGATTTCTGTCTGATCAAAAACTTTCCATAATTTCTAAAATTCTACATGGGTTTTCGTTCACAATTCTTTCCTCCCAAGGAGCTCTCAATCTTATTCCAAGTATCTAATCAAACAATTGTCTCCTTAGTCAAATGTCTTTCTAGGGTATTTCGAATTTTATTCAAAATTGAAGATTTGGCCACCACTTCCTTATCTACCATTTTTCGCAATACTCGAAATTCCCCCTAAAGCCAATGACTTAAAGATTCTTATTCTATCAAACACATTTCATAATCTCCGAGGCTCTACTTAAGTTCGAAAGTTCTTTTTTTTTTAGAAGTTATTCATTAACATGTTTTCTCGGGGATTTAAATTTTAAAAAGGCAATCATTCTTTTCTTTTTCCTCTACTTCTTTGATCACTAAGGTAGGAACTTAAATTCAAACTAAAATTCTTAAAAATTGGGAAACCACCGCCCTAATTACTACCGATTACTCAAATCATGATCAAAATATGAATCACTGCCTAAATTGATCCCCCACATCCTTGTAACTGCATCATTGCCCCCAAATAACTCGGATTGCCACAGAATGAAATCACTACCACGTCAGACTCCCCAGACTTTGGGAATGAAATCACTGTCTTTCTCGTTGTTAGATAGCTGGAATCAAATCAAACATAAAATCGTTTCCAAAATATCACATAAGGACATAATTTGCATTCATGCCTACTTGGGGGGTAGGGTTGCCCTGTCCTAATTTAGAACTCAGACCTAGGATTCACTAAATTATTCAAAGAGGCAATAATACAATCCTGGAAAGGAGGGTATCCTGCCCTAGTTTGGAAGCTGCTAATGCTCTCTCCATGCAGAAAGAGAGGTAAGTTTGGTCAAGAAAGGGCACAACAGTCGTTACAATCAATATACCACTCCTTCCACAAGGGAATGATCAAACAGTACTAGTAGCATAGCCTCCTGCTTGCCTTGTTGACATAACATAACCCACGAATAGTGTCCGGGATACTATGCAACAAACCCGAGAATAGGTGACTGCAACCAGTCAATTTCGTTTAACAATTACCATTGGATCCCGAAGTCATCGTAATCACCCAGTGGGTGATACTTGCCCGACCAACAGAATTCTGACGAATTTAAAAGATTCCTACCAGAGTGATCAATCTAAACACTTGTCTTTCCATTACATATTATTTCCCGAAATTTGCCCCAATTTATTTTCAAACGTGCGTTATGAAATTTCAACTTCTATTTTTTTAAACATATTTTTTCAAAATAAAGTGCCGTTTTTATTTTTTCTTTAAAATTTCAATGTTGTTGGGCTGCAGACCAGCTGATTCACCAATTGAGACTAATCATCATCTTTGTAGTGGAATGGGTGAGCCTGTGGAGAAGGAAAGGTACCAAAGACTTGTGGGAAGAGTGATATATCTCTCTCATACTCATCCAGATATTGCCTATGCAGTTGGAATAGTGAGTCAGTTTATGCATGATCCTTGTGTACCTCATTCGGATGCAGTTTATCGCATTTTGAGGTATCTTAAATCTGCCCCTGGAAAAGGAATTTTGTTCTCTAATCATGGTCACTTGAGGTTGGAAGCATTCACAGATGCAGATTGGGCAGGCTCTATAGATGACCGACGCTCTACATTTGGTTATTGTGCTTTTGTAGGGGGAAATCTAGTCACATGGCGTAGTAAGAAGCAGGGGGTCGTTTCTAGATCTAGTGCTGAAGCTGAATACAGGGCTATGCACATGGAACATGTGAACTAATGTGACTTGAATCTTTGTTGAGTGATATAGGGCTTGATTGGAGTGGTCCCATGACTTTGTATTGTGACAACAAGGCTGCTATTAGTATTGCACACCATCCTGTTCAACATGACCGGACTAAGCATATTGAGATTGACAGACATTTCATTAAGGAGAAATTGAATAAGGGTGTGATATGTATGCCTTTTGTTAAGTCTGAAGATCAACTGGCGGATGTTTTTACTAAGGGTCTTAGTAGTAAAGTCTTTCACTCTATTTGTTGCAAGTTGGGCATGAGAAACATCTTTGCACCAACTTGAGGGGAGTGTTAAGTATGTTAGGGGTAGTTTGGTCTTTATGTATTATTCTTATTAGTATAAGTAGTTGTGTGAAAGGGGGAAACCCTAAGTTTTGAATCAATAATCTACAACAGCTTTCTCTAGCCGGCTCTTTCTGACGCCGTGAATAAGTCTTAAGATCAGCTCTGTCCAAACGACCACCGATATCCGACTCCTCATCAACAGAACTCCTAGGCTCCCCCTCACCACAAATAACAGCCCGTTGAGGAGGAAGGAAAAAAGACAACTCATGCTGATATGATGCCGTCTCATCCGCAATCTCATCGATACCACGCTCCCCCTCAGGAGATGGCGGAGGACCAGGAAAAAAAGACTCAGATTCACGGAAGGTGACATCCATACTAACATACAACCTATGAGAGTGAGGGTCATAGCATTTGTAGCCTTTCTGAGTAGTAGAATAACCAAGAAAGACACACCGGACAGCCTTAGGATCAAGCTTCCCACGAGTCCGAGGTTGAAGATGAACAAAACAGACACTACCAAAAACCCGAGGCGGAAGAGAAGAAGTGGGATACGTCACAGGAAGAAGCTCAAAAGGAATTTGAAAGTGGAGGACACTAGAGGGCATACGGTTAATAAGATAAGCCGCGGTAAGAACCGCATCCCCCCAAAAAGACTTAGGAACGTTCATGGTAAACAAGAGAGAGGGAGCAACCTCAAGTAGATGGCCATTCTTACGTTCAGCAACTCCATTCTGTTCAGGAGTGCCAACACAACTAGTCTGATAAAGAATGCCACGGTCGTCGAGGTATGCCCGGAAAGCGCCATCAACATACTCAGTCCCATTATCACTCCTAAGAATTTTGATAGTAGCATTGAAGAGATTGGATACCATTTTATGAAAACTTTTGAAGCATGAGAAAACTTCATTTTTTGTACGAAGTAAATAAAGCCAAGTCACACGGGAATAACAATCAATGAATGTGACAAATCATCGATAACCAGAGGTAGAAACAACTGGGGAAGGACCCCATACATCGGTATGAATAAGCATAAAAGGAAAAGTACTTCTTTTATTAATTGAAAGATAACAAGTACGTTTATGCTTAGCAAGCTCACAAGCATCACAAACAAAGTTATTCCTAGGACAATCACGAACTAATAAAGGAAAAAGTTTCTCTAAAATGCTAAAGGAAGGATGCCCCAAACGGCGATGCCACTGATGAAGGAGACGAATGGAGGAGCCAGAAGTGCATTGCAGAGCCTGAGAGGACAAAGGTGAGGCAGGCACGGCATCCAGAAAGTACAGACCACTTTGTGCTCTACCACTGCCAATCATTTTCCCCGTAGCCAGTTCCTGAAAGACACAATGAGTCGGAAAAAAGGTTACAGAACAATTGAGAGCAGTAGTAAGGCTACTAACAGAAAGTAAGTTAGTTGAAAAATTAGGAACACGAAGAACAGACGAAAGCGAAAGTAAAGAGGTGCAACGAACAGAACCCTTGCCGGAGATAGAAGATAAAGTGCCATCAGCCACTCTAACCTTATCTCGCCCAGAACTAGGTGAATAAGAATGGAAAAAACTAGAAGTACCCGTCATGTGATCGGTAGCACCGGAATCAATGATCTAAGGAGACGACGAAGAAGCACTGAGGGCACTAGCAGAAATACCTGTGTGAGCAAAGTTGGAAGAGGCAGAAGAGGAAGGAGCTAAGGCAGATGAAGAATCAAGTCGAGCCATCAAACGTCTGAGAGTGTGAAGCTCATCCGGGGAAATAGAACTAGCATCATTCGAGGCACTAGCAGTAGTCTCAGAAACATGTGCTTGAGGACGAACACCACCACCACGACCACGGCCTCGAGTGGGGCGGCCATGCAACTTCCAACAGTGTTCTTTATCATGTCTATCTTTTCCACAATACTCACACTTCAACCGGTCCCGATCAACCAATGGACCCTTACCACCACCTAGAGGCAGAAAAGGTGGAGTATCACGTGACTTGGGGCCGACAACCATCGCTGACCGATCCAGAACAGGAGCATGCACCATAGCACTGCGACGACTCTCCTCCTGCTGAACCAGGGCATAAGCCTCACGCAATGTAGGAAACGGAGAGCGACCCAACACCTGAACCCGTATCTGATCATACTCCAAATTCAGACCAGCAAGAAAGTCATACACCCGCTCCTTCTCCACAGCCTGCTGAAACATAGTGGCATCCTTGGAGCAAACTGGCTGGAAACTCTGGTAGAAATCTAGCTCTTGCCACAAACCACTCAACTCAGCATAGTAGACTGCCAGAGAGCGATCCTTCTGATCCAAACCCCTAATCGTCTTACGCAATTCATAGGCCTGTGCATCATTCCCTTGTTGAGAATACATTTGAGAGGCAGCTATCCAGATCTTGTGAGCAGTATCCATCAAGAGAAAAGTCCGACTAATGGTAGGCTCCATAGAATTGATGAGCCAAGTTATAACTAAAGCATTCTCAGAAATCCATTGAGCAGATAAAGTACTATCCTCAGTAGGTGGCTGGGAACTACTACCAGTAATATAGCCAGTCAAACGCCGGGCGGCAATCGCAAGACTACAGGAGCGGGACCAAATCAAGTAATTAAGACCATTAAGTTTGACCGGACTAATCTGGAGAGAAGGACTATCACCAAGAGTCAGACCACGACTCAGTCCACTCTCCTCCTTGCCCTTAGAGTCCTGACCCAAGCTGTCAGCCATGAGATGAGAAAAGAGGGTGCAAAAAACACAAGCCGGATATCAAACAAGTTCACAAATCACCCAACCAGCACACCAAACACCTTTTAAGGCTAAAACAGTCCAAAAGAAGCCCAGAACAGAGCAACCAGATCAACTACAAGTCAGAAAACCGAAGCAGAGCATCTAAACAGCGATAAAAATCCAAGATAGGGCCAAAATACATCAAACCAGGGACAACAAACCCCCTTAGGTAGAATATAGTTGTAAAAATGGATTCTTTTTAATTTTTTATGTTTAAACAATCTAATAGACTAAGTTTAACAAATGCCCAGGGCAACTTCTGCATGTGCATACTCCTCACATGCTTATGCGCAAAAAGCGTAAAAAGCACGCTTAAGGCGCATGTCTCAAACTATGATGCGCAAAGCCTTTGGGGAGTAATGCCTAAAAATCAAAGCCTTAATGCATTTTACCTTAACCTCAAGGCGAGGCGAGCATCGAGGCGAGCCTCAAGAAAGCCTTTTAAAACTCTGGGTACTACTACCAGTAATATAGCCAGTCAAACGCCGGGCGACAATCGCAAGACTACAGGAGCGGGACCAAATCAAGTAATTAAGACCATTAAGTTTAACCGGACTAATCTGGAGAGAAGGACTATCACCAAGAGTCAGACCACGACTCAGTGCACCCTCCTCCTTGCCCTTAAGAGTCCTGACCCAAGCTGTCAGCCATGAGATGAGAAAAGAGGGTGCAAAAAACACAAGCCGGATATCAAACAAGTTCACAAATCACCCAACCAGCACACCAAACACCTTCTAAGGCTAAAGCAGTCCAAAAGAAGCCCAGAACAGAGCAACCAGATCAACTACAAGTCAGAAAATCGAAGTAGAGCATCTGAACAGTGATAAAAATCCAAGATAGGGCCAAAATACATCAAATCAGGGACAACAAACCCCTATAGGGTTCCAGTCGGCTCCCAAGGATAGGAGAAGAAGGAACAAAACCAGAAAAAAGAGGGTCAAACAGTGATTTTCGAAAAATCACATAATTTTGACGAAAAATCAAAAAAATTAGAAAATTCAATCAATAATGACCAAAAAATCAAAATGAGATTATAGGGTGATTACCTACTAAATTTTGAGCATACTGTAACTTTTTTTTTTTTTTGGCTATAACAGACGTACCAAGAACAATATCGGGCTCTAAGGAACAATCTTCAAGGAGGAAGATAGTGCTCTAATAACAAGTTAAATGTATAGATGAGAAGAAGAAGAAGAAAGAATAGAACAAGAGAAAGCTGCTGTAGATTATTGATTCAAAACTTAGGGCTTCCCCCTTACACACAACTACTTACACTAATAAGAATAATACATAAAGACCAAACTACCCCTAACATACTTAACATTTTCCTTTCCTCTTTTTTATCCCAAAGTTTAAAAGAGTCCGGATTTTATTCCAAGGAATCAACCAAACGATCGTCCTTTAGCTAAATATCTCGTATAGGAACCAAAATTTTATTCGAAATGAGAGACTCGGCCATTACTACCTTGTCTAACATTTCTCCACAAAATTAAGTTTCCCTCAAAGTCAGCGGCCCAAAGGTTTTTACCGGATGAAAAGAACTTTCCATAATTTCATAACTCTGTTCAAATATTATTTTCAAAAAATTTCCAAAGAATTTTAGATCTTATTCCAAAAATCAATCAAACAGTCACCTTATAGTCAAATGTCTTCTAAGGAAATTCAAAATTTCACATCAAAGTGAAAGACTCGGTCATCACCTCCTCATCAACACTTTTCCATAAAATCAAATTCCCTCTAAAGTCAAAAACCTAAGGATTTCTGTCTGATCAAAAACTCACCATAATTTCTAAAATTCTACACGGGTTTTCGTTCACAATTCTTTCTTCCCAAAGAGCTCTCAATCTTATTCCAAGTATCTAATCAAACAATTGTCTCCTTAGTCAATTGTCTTTCTAGGGGATTTCGAATTTTATTCAAAATTG